GAGCTATGTGCAGTAATGAAGGCCATTTGGCCCGTCCTCTTCCACCTAGTTACTTTAATAACTTAAAAGTCATACGGCTGCCTCTCTTTGGCGTGCAGCCATAGCAAAAACCTATGGAAACGAATATCATTATTCACAGTGCTTCCTGCCCTCCCATTTGTTTCTGTTAGATCTTAACATATTTCAAAGTCAAATTCAATGAGTGGGAGTCTGGAAAAGAGAACAAGGTTTTCAGAGACCACAAAGCAGAAATAATACAGCCAGACAACAGCCTCCATATATTACTTCTGACTCCAAATGAGTCAAGAGTTACAAAGAAGTAGGGAAAATATTCTTTAAACAGAATAATGTGTATTGTATCTGTAAACACTTAACTGCAACTTATTATATATTTGTTTATTTAATTAAAATTCTAAATTCATGCTTGCTTTTTTTGTAAATGGATCAATCTTTTACTAGTTTATTATGGCTTTTTTTGCAATATTGTCCCATTTAATTTATGATTTATACACTTTTTTCATGACTTCAACAAAAAGTTTAGAACTGATCAATGGAGTTTAATTTAAAAGAAAATAATAATAATAATAATATTAGTTTTTATACTGAAACAGAAGAAACTGCAAGTATAACAAACAGATTTGTTTTGTAGTTAGAGATATATAAAATGTGTTTTTTATATATATAAAGTTGTGTCCTATACAATAATTTTAAATGGAAAAACCATACAAGTTACAAGAAAATAGTTTATTTATTTAAAATAATATTTCTTCAAAGTGTCATGTCTAATTAAATGTCATTTGTAAGCCTTTTTGTAAGGTAGCATTGTGTGCAGAGTGTCTGCAGGGTCTTAAAAAGTATTAAAAGTTGAAAAATCAATTTAGAGAAATGTAAGGCCCTTAAAAAGTCTTAAATGCTGTTACAAAGTATTACATGTAGCATCATTTTTGATTACAAATTTGTATAATTATAGTTGTATGCTAAAGTTTAAAATTTTGGGATGCAGTGTAGTTTATGAAATCAATAAAATCCTGCTATATTTGATGTCACACTGCTTTGTTAAGGAACAACAGCAGCACCATTATTTTTGCTGTTCTATAGGCGAAACCTTCTGGATTAACAATTTTATAAAATATATGAATAATGTTTAAGTTTAGGATTAGTTTCTTACAATCAGTCATGGTTTCTGCTACATTCATTCTTCGTGGTGGGGCGCCACACCAAAATTCATCCCACAACGGCTACATTACAGCTTCTCATTCAAAACATTCGTCGTTTTTTTAAATAGCGGGTTATAATCGCACCAAAGCATATTAAAAGATAAGTGAATTATAACAGCACAAACCTTTCTGTAATCATAGTAGTGCTGTGCAGTTTCCATAATTATACGTTATTTTTAGATAAAGGTCTGTGGCTCTGCATATAATGACTTTATCTTGCTGGAGTTTATAGCCATTTCACTTTACTTTAGGACGCATTAATGCTGCTCTGTTAGTCTATTGGAGACATTTATAAATATTCCTAGCAAATCTAATAAATGTTTTAGACATACTCGTTACATAAACGCACTAAATCGCACTTCAGCAGCGTTTATTTGAGGGCGCAAGAAAATCTGCACTTGAGCAGCAAATATTTGAGGGCACACAAGCTTTGTGCACAAACAGAGGAAATCGGCGCTCGAGCAGAGATTGACATGCTCGTAGGCTATTACATAAATGTGATCTTGACTTAATGCCTCGCCCACAACATTTGTCAATGAAATAACGCTACATGTGGAAGATCTGTGTAAAATGCTCACCAGAGTCTGCACAACTAAAAAAAATTCTAGAGGAAACACTGAATCAGTATTTAGTGAATATATTTAAAATGTCACCAATGCTACCTACTCAGACCTATAGTGGCGATGAGCTCTTAAAATGTCTGGGGAGAGTCTTAAAAAAGGTCTTACAAGGTTTTGGATTTTACTCTCTGATTCCTTTATACTCTGGTGAGTCTCAGTGGATTTTTTTCTTTTCAGTGATGTGATTTCTATTTAGTTCTTTAAAGTATTAACTGTACATAATCAAAAATATAGGTAATTAAATGCAATGCAATGCAGTGTTTCTTTAAGAAGTGCAAAAGTTTAATTTGTGGCTAAGTCAATGCATTTTTAACACAAGAAATCCACTAGCATATCTGAGAAAAGGTCAGTATTATCAGACTTTTTATATTCAGTAAAGCCAGTATAAATGACTTCAGTTGCTATAAATAGCTTGTTTTTCCCTGTGAGATTCGAGCAAAATATTGAACCCAAATTGAATCTGACAGCACATTATGAATCTCACCAGCTCAAAGGGGCTACTTTAGCATCTGATTAAAGGTTTAATAATGCATTGCTTCTCCTGGTCTTTGTGTGGCTGCATTGAGTTTTAAGACACTACCACAGATGCATCAAGGTTAATTTATGGAGCCTCTTTCATATTTTCTCAAAGCCTTGTATTTGTTGCCATCCTTCTGTGAAGCATATCTGAGTCTGTCATTTTTAATTTCTCATCTGACGCAGTCAGGTTTTGACGTTGCTTTGGGTCACCCAATCTGTTGTGCGAATAGTCTTTGTCAGTTTAAATAATGTCACCAACTGGAATGTCACTGGTTTTTCTTCCCCATGCTTCATTTCATCATGTACTTCTTTATACCCTACTGATGGCAACAGATGTGAAATATACTCTGTGTGAGAGTAGAAGTGTGTGTGTGTCTGTCTCCACATCTACACATCCATCAAGGCTATCAATATATTTGTTCTCTTTTCATTCCTTCTCAGATGCCCCTGTTTTAAACTAAGAACTCAGTAAATGCACAACAACACAGCCTGAAACAGTGCTAAAAGTTTCACCCTTCCACTGTGATACATTTAAGAGTAAGTCAAATTAATCAGCTGAAGTTAACTACACACAGCATTTGACTCCATTGCTCAAGATGACAGCTTGAAAACAAGGACATTTGAGGTTGACACTTAATTTTTTGATTGATAGTATCAAGAAAGTACAGGTCACTGGAAGGAAGAGAAAAGGGTCAAAATCTAAATTGTTCCACCATCTTACATTGAGCAATTGAGTGCATGTTTACATGACAGTTTCTTAAAAGCTTTTAACGGCATTTTAGGCATCTAAAATATTTAGTCTGTTAAAAAACAAGATTTTTTGACATATTAATACACACTGTAAAAAATGGTTGTGATTTAAATGATAAAACTGTTAAAAAAAATGCTACAGTAGAAATTTGTAACCTTGTTAACTAAGTTCCCTGCATGACACTTCACTTTTTTTGTAAACATTACCATGGTTCTTTAAAAAAAATATTTATGATAATGTACATTATTTGCAGCTAATGTTGATGAATAATGTTTATTCCATTACTTTAATTGTATGTGTGTTACAATAACGATGCCCTTTGATATAGTATGCTTCACAGTTGTTTAATATGAGCATATGTCTTTCTCATCACCACAAGCTTATGGTTGTGTTATTGTCTATGCATTTGTCTAAGTGACAAAAGAGCTGATGTCTAGATTTTAGTACACCCAACATTGGTGTATTAACACTTTAAAAGAATAAAATTAAGTAGTTTATTATAAAAAAAAAAATCATATTATGGTTTGTGCTGTATTTTTAATGGTAAAATACTGGCAACCACAGCTTCTTCTTTTTTTTTTTTTTTTTTTTAAAGACCAGAAATGACATCACCACCTACTGGTCTGGCATGCATCATTCAGTTTAATTTAGTAGTTTTGAGGGATCTGTGTAAATCAGGGGTCTCAAACTCCTGGCGAGTGGGCCATGCACAGCCTGTCCCTCCTTTTCCCTCCTGGCCCGCAATTCACGTCAAAAATATGAGATTCGGCCCCCCAAAGCACATGTTTTTGAATCACTATCCATATTGTGCTGTTGCGTATACTGTACTTGTGGTTTTGACCCCCCACTTATTTGGCGTTTAAAGTACTACACTATTTTATACTGTATTTCAGTTTTACTTTTGTTTTGTTTTTCAGCATGCATTTGTGAGAAACGCACATGCAGATTATTTCTGTGGCTGATTTAAACACTAAAATAAATGTGCATAAGTGCTCTATTGTTAGTAAAACTATTTTTGTAAATATTCAAGGGTCATTTGGTTATTATCAATTTTATACCACCTGTATTTTGTTAAACAAACACGTCATGGCTCATACAATATTCTGATGATGTAACAAATATGTACATTTTTGCTATAATTCAATTCAAATGGTCTGATAGATTTTCTCCATATGCGTATTAGGATTTCTATAATACCTATCTACATTTTACTGCTGGTTGAATTGAGCAAGTTAAAGTTAATGTGAATATATGCTTACTTTCCCTTTCTATGCTGTAGTTTTTCAAAAAAGAAAGATACCAAGAACAATTGCCAGTAAATTCAGTAAAATTACCCAAACAGTTTTTGCTGTTCTTGTGCTGTCTTTTAAATTTTTGGTAAAGCAACAATTAGATAGGACAGAGTAATAATATTTATTATTATCATTATTATGTCATCATTATCATTATATATATTATTATTTAAGTGTCAAACTGTTAATTTAAACAGCCACAGATATATTTCAGCAGTTGTGTGAAGCAAAAAACGTGCTGATTTGAACTATCACTGGGGACAGGTAATGCTTGAAATATAAACATTAGGTCTGTTGTCCTAAGATGTGTCTATTATGTCTTTTTTTTCTTGTCCTTGAATGTTAAAATGGCCCTCCTATAAATTGTCAGTCACTGAAATGGCCTCCTGCCAATTTGAGTTTGAGACCCCTGGAATAAACATTGATAAGAATTTTAAACACACACCAAGCATCAGTATTACAAGATAAGATACAAAAGCTACCACTGGGGAGGTGCTTTTAAATATTACTTACTGTAAATGCTCCATATACCTTAATACTACTTGCAAGTACCTAAAAAGTGTGTGGTTTTGATTTGAGTAAACAAATCACAGGAAGATTGTTTGTGGTTTGTGTATTTGTCATCTTTTTATTAATGCACTAATGAACATACATTAAGTAACAGAATAACAAAAGACTGCAGTTTACACTTGAAGAAAAATTAACAGCAGGTTCTCTTCTAATGGAACAGAAAAACAGTTTTTTAATTGTCAAGAATGCAGAAGCAGAGAGAGTAAAATACTAGAACAATTCAATTTTTCCACAAAACTAATAAGATTATATGGTGAGATCGAAAGATCATATGTATTATAGTTTTGCAAACAGTGGCACCTGAAAGCTTAAACCATTTGCCTTGTGTGAAGGAGGGCTGTCTTTGTTTCTCATGGACTGGTTTTACGGACGTTTCTCAAATGTATGGTGAAGTGTCTGGGAAGTCCTTGTCTGATAAATTCTTCCTGGAGCTGAAACATGATTTGTTTTTTTGTTTGTGAACTATTTGCGAGCTCTTTAAAATTGTTTTGATGTATTCAACTCTTAGAATTGTTTTTACCTGTATAATCAACTGCTCTTCAATCTGAGACTGCGATAAATTTTCCGCACTTGTAAGTTTCACTCTCAGTCCCATCACTAATAAGAGAAAAACAAAACTGGTCAGAACTTTTGGACATGCAAGAATGATTTAGCAGAAAAGACCTTATCTACACAAACCTACCATACACATCTGAAATGACACGGTGAGATGATTGTCATGTTCACCAGAAAGCAAAAAAAGACGTTAAAAGATTAAGCATAAAAGATTATTGAATTTGCAATTTAAGCATTTCATTATAAACAGTACATTTTCTTACCACTGTAACAGAAGAAGGGCAAGCTGGCAAAACATCTCTCATCTGACCACTGACCAAAGTATTTTAAAGACACAGTTGTACAGTGTTGGGCCCCCTGTTCTCCTGGGACATTTGCACCATTATCTGGTTGTGCATCAACACCTGCAGTCCATGGCAGCCAATATGTGAAGGAAGAGCTGCTCTGATCTGACCACAGTCTGTTTTTGTGTAGACCAATCCATATATGATACCCATAATTATAGCTTAAATATGTAACGTTCAGTATCTGTTGCCGCTGTCTCATTCCTTACACTAGCCAGGTTTGTGTATGTCTCTCTGCAGTAGCTCTGAGCTTCAGTCCAGGTCTTGTACTCAGATACCCAAACATACTTTTGAGAGGAATTTTCTTTACCTAAGATAAAACATAAAGTGAATAGCTTATAAATAAACCAGTCCATGTGTTAATTTGTCTTTTTATGTACCGCCAACCTGGCATATGATTACTGATTATGTTAAGTTTATGCTTACGTTTAGGTTTATGACCTTCTACATGATTATCCAACTATTATTCCCCTCTAATTTTGGGAATAATTTACAGTTTTGATTGGGTTTAGGGATAAGAAAATGTAGGGGTTGTAAATAGGTATGGATTACATTTTCGAAACAAAAATGTTATTCTAGGATCAACATAGAAGTTAATCCATGAATCGCATTGTACTTTGCAAAATCATGACATGCCAAATGTGCAGGTGCAGTACTAGAGATACAATACAGAGAGCAGAAAACCATGACCAGGTTCTTACATAATAAGAATTATAAAGGTTTGACATCAGCTTTTATCATCACTGCAGGCAAATCTGATATAATAATCATTTATGTAAAGTGATTACATTTAAGATTTACAAAGTCTTACCATCATAGCAAGCAAATGTAAAAGAATTGTCACATGATGAATCAAACCACTTTCCACTTCTGTCCATGTACACACACATTTCATTCCCGTTATAGTTGTTTGGTTCATAAAACCAGTTTCTGAAGTCTCTTTCTCCTTCCTGATAGAAATCATTGTTTTCCAGTGACCATCTTTAGCTGTTCACATCATCATACTGACCAATCCAGGCTGAACCATTGTAACTATTATTGACTGTGTTAATCAACCTGTTCATTTCCTCCATGTTATCAATGGTGGCCAGATCAGTGTAACTCTGCCTGCAGAATGTCTAAGCTTCAGTCCAGCTCATAGACTGATTCACAAAATGATACTGATGGGATGATGCTAAAGCTGTCAATGAGAAGCAATGATTACATTTTTATATAAATAAAATAATCTAAAATCTGTGATCATCTATCACAGATTAGAAAATTCAAGTGTCAAAGTTAAACAAGTGAAGTTTATTTATAAAGTAATTTCGAAAGGATCACATGTTTATGATTGCTTGCGGCTGATCCCACATTATTCAATTTATGATTCACCAATCAGATGATTCCAAAGTTCCATATAACAGCCATCTTCATTTTGAAGAATCCCCCTCCACCCCTACTCCTCCTCCTTTCCTAGATGGGTGGCACGGTGGCACAGTGGTTAGCACTGTTGCCTTACAGCAAGAACGTCACTGGTTCTAGTCCTAACCAAGCCAGCCAACGTTTCTGTGCCGAGTTTACACATCCTCCCTGTGTTCACATGGGTTTCCCGGTGGATTCCCCGGTTTCCTCCCACAGTTCAAAAACATGCAACTTAAGTTAATTGACTAATACAAATCAGCACCATTGACATGCTCGTAGTAAGTAGTTATCTCTTTAGAGCAATCTCTATCTGTTCATAAGCTACTACAGCAGTGGAGTTCTCGATATCCACCTGAGCTCAAACTCCCCTCTCGCCAACGGGAGGGAGCCCTGGGCTCAAGGATCTTATAAGCTTAGTTCTCTCTCCAGGGACATCATGCCAAACAAGCTTTATAATCAATCATTAGCTAAGTGTGAACTCTTGAACTAAAGACAAAATCAGAATGCAACAATAGTTTTTTTTATAGAAGCTAAACATTTGGTAGATTTGGAAATAGAAAGGACTGAGTAATAATGTAACATAATTTATAGCAACATACACTAGCCATTTAAAGCTTTAACAATGCATGCCACTTAAAAGATACAGTAATCTAATATTTTAGGTGCCTTATGTAAAGACTACTTGAAATAAAAACAAATCTGCAGCAATACTCTATCGTGAATGATCTACTCACCACTGTAGCAAATGAAAGGAAAGGCAGTATTGCAGTTTTCATCTGTCCAGCTCCCAGAGTCACTGAATGACACAGCAGTGCAGTATTCACTGTTTCCAGCATTATCAGGCTGTCCTGACCTCCAGTTACTGAATGAAGAGTTGCTCTGATCTGACCAAGACCTGCTTCTGTACAGTCCAATCCAAACAACGTAATAATTTGTAATTACTGACTGAACCCTGTAGTTCTCCATCTCATTCCTGATACTGACGATGTCTGTGTGATTTTCTCTGCAGTAACTCTGAGCTTCAGTCCAGTTTTTGAATTGATTAACAAACACATAACTTGAACCTGCATTTGTTCTTTCTGCAAACAACAACAAGTTAATTAAATTAACTGTTAGGAAAAACGGTATCAAAATCTTCGATTTTGAAAATGTGTTGTTTTAGTTAATTAGCCCCTGGAAATTCTTACCATCATAGCAAACAAATGGTATGGCAAAGGAGCAAGAGGCTTTACTCCATATTCCCGATAATATGACATGTACACACACAGACTCTTTCCATCCCAGTTTCTTGGTTGCTGAACAAACCAGCTTTTCAAGAGTTCACACTTAGATGATGATTGATTATAAGCAAGTTTGGCATGCTGTCCCGGGAGAGAGCCCTGAGCTCGAAGGTTCTTGAGCCCTGGGCTCCCTCCCGTTTGGAGGAAGAGAGGGGAGCCTCGAGCTCAGGTAGATCTCGACAACTCCCCTTTTTATAATAGCTAAAGATTAAGATTGAAGGCTATTAAAAGATATGCTGCATTATTAGATTACCTGTATTGAAATTTAGATTTAACGATTAACTTGTTGTACATGTTTTTGGAATGTGGGAGGAAACCGGAGAACCCGGGGAAAACCCACGCAAGCACGGGAAGAACATGCAAACTACACACAGAAACGACCACCGGCCTGTTAAGGAACTAGAACCGGTGACGTTCTTGCTGTGAGGCGACAGTGCTAGTCACTGAGCCACCGTGCTGCCCTATGGAGGGAAAGGTGAAAAGGTAGGGGTGGAAGGGGGGATTCTTCAAATCGAAGATGACTGTAGTGAGAAAACCCTGGCTCTTTATAGTGGTTAGGAATGGCCTGATTGGTGGATCAAGCATGCTAATGCAGGACCAGCCGTGTTCAATCATAATCACGTGCTCCTCTCGAAATTAGTTTATGAATAAACTTCACTTCAAGAGTTCACACTTAGATGATGATTGATTATAAGCAAGTTTGGCATGCTGTCCCGGGAGAGAGCCCTGAGCTCGAAGGTTCTTGAGCCCTGGGCTCCCTCCCGTTTGGAGGAAGAGAGGGGAGCCTCGAGCTCAGGTAGATCTCGACAACTCCCCAAAATGCTCCGCTCGGGACAGCAGCCGTGTATTTGAAGAACCCCCCAAAAGGCACAGGAGATTAATGCCATATCCGGCTGCTGAAAAGTGATACAGAAATAGCTTGGAGGAGCAACAGAGACTGGTGTGGGTGTAAAAATTAACTGAAAGTGCTTATGTATGACTATGTGTGCTCCCGGGTTCTGTTAATTGTAAGGACCAGCGGGAGAGTGAGTGGGGTAAGTGTAAAGGTTTAAAACATATGTGGTGAGTTTCGTAAAGGTTTAGTATAGTAGTGATGGAAAATAAAGCTGTAAGGTTCTGCGGAGCTGTAGCTGCAGATGAGAAGCGGTTAACTGATTAACCGCTTTGGCAGTCCAATGGGGAGTGTGTCAGTAGTGGTATGGATAAATGGTAGTGTGCGTGAGCTCCGGTGGAGCGACACTGCTGCAGCAGTGGTGCAGGGGGGATGAAGCTCGGCTGAGCGTCTCTGCGACTGCAGAGGTGCGATGGTAGTCAGTACTAAGGGGAAGAATACGCTTCTGCAGCAGCGTTTTAACTGCTTTAGCAGTGCTGGGAGTGACAGAAGTGGTATAAGTGTAATGGAAGTGTGCATGAGCTCCAGCAGAGCGTCACTGCTGCAGCAGTGGTGCAGGGGATGTAAATGATGCTCGGCTGAGCGTCTCTGCTGCTGCAGAGGTGCAATGGAAGTCAGTATTTGTAAGGGAAATACGCCTCCGCAGGGACGTTTAACTGCTTTAGCAGTGCTGGAGAGTGTATCAGTATTGGGTTGCTAAATGAAAGTGTATATGCGCTCGCTGAGCGTCACTGCTGCGGCAGTGATGTGGAGGGGAGTGATGCTCGGCTGAGCGTCTCTGCGACTGCAGAGGTGCGGTGGTAGTCAGTCCTAAGGGGAAGAATACGCTTCTGCAGCAGCGTTTTAACTGCTTTAGCAGTGCTGGGAGTGACAGAAGTGGTATAAGTGTAATGGAAGTGTGCATGAGCTCCAGCAGAGCGTCACTGCTGCAGCAGTGGTGCAGGGGATGTAAATGATGCTCGGCTGAGCGTCTCTGCTGCTGCAGAGGTGCAATGGAAGTCAGTATCTGGAAGGTAAATACGCCTCCGCAGAGACGTTTAACTGCTTTGGCAGTGCTGGAGAGTGTATCAGTAGTGGATTGCTAAGTGGAAGTGTATATGCGCTCGCTAAGCGTCACTGCTGCGGCAGTGATGTAGAGGGGAGTGATGCTCGGCTGAGCGTCTCTGCGGCTGCAGAGGTGCGGTGAAAGTCAGTTTCCAAAGGGAAGTGCGCTTTGGAGAGCTGATTAACAGCTGTGTAGCAGATAGGAATCAGGCACAGTAGACCAACTCTGTGGCTGCAGGGGTGCATAGGTAATCAGAGTCTGGTGCATTATATGTGTGAAAGCAATACATGTTCCCGCTAAGCCTTTACAGCTGTATTATAGCGGGGAGTGTGGTGATGGAAAATAAATTGATACTACAATGCAATGTAATTAAGTGGAGCTGCTGTAAAGGTGTGATGGTGGTCAGTATGTAAGCAATACGAGTTCCCGCTAAGCCTTTATGGCTGTATTGTTGCGGGGAGTGTGGTGATGGAGAATAAATTGATACTACAATGCAATGTAATTAAGTGGAGCTGCTGTAAAGGTGTGATGGTGGTCAGTATGTAAGCAATACGAGTTCCCGCTAAGCCTTTATGGCTGTATTGTTGCGGGGAGTGTGGTGATGGAGAATAAATTGATGCTACAATGCAATGTAATTAAGTGGAGCTGCTGTAGAGGTGTAATTGTAGTCAGTATGGAAGCAATACGAGTTCCCGCTACGCCTTTACGGCTGTATTATTGCGGCGGAGTGTGATAATGGTTAAATTTTTTGAAAAGTGTACATGTGAGCTTTTAAAGAGCTTCACTGCTGTGGCAGTGGGAGCTTGGGGCTACCCCTGTGGGAGTCCGAGCTGCGGAGAATGAGTGCAAGTGAAATTAAAAAATTATGAAGAGAAAGAGAAGGGAAGTTTAATAAAATAAAAAGGAAAGTTTAGTAAAAATGAGTCCTATGCAACTAAGACAGCAAGTAGGAAGAACAGACAGAGTCGTGCTGCTTGGAAACTAGGTTGAAGTCTGCAACCGAGAATCAGCTGGGCTTCTCTGAGGAAATATTGGCTGAGGCAAATTGAGGATTTAGAGGTGTTAGAGGACCAATGACAGAGTTTATATCTGTTGTTGGAAGACTGTTCAGGCAGGGCGTCACTGCTGCAGCATTGGTGCAGGGGAAAAAATAATCTCAGCAGAGCTTCTCTGCAGTTACAGAAGTGCAATAAAATCAGTGGTGCAGAGAATTAAGGCTAAACAGCCGTCTCTGCAGTTGCAGCTCAGGCAAAGCTTAACTGTTGCAGCAGTGGTGCAGAGGGAGAATAAGGCTCGGCAAAGCGTCTCTGCAAGAGCAGAGGTGCAGTGGTACTCAGTATTAGAGCCTCACACAGAAATACTAAGTACTATTAGCAGTGATATTTAGAGATGAAAGTGAAAAAGGGGCTCAGCTAGAGCGTCACTGCAGTTGCAGTGATGTTAATGGGGTGTATAGTTAAGTGGAGCACCTAAACAGTCGATATTAGTAAGTTTTGAGTGCTCCCGCAGGGACGTTAAATACTGCCTTTAGTGATATGTAAAGATGAAGGTGAATAAGGCATATGCTAGAGGGTCACTGCGGTAGCAGTGGTGCTTTGGGTGTGCAACTCTGCGGAGCATTTCTGCGGCTGCAGTGGTGTAGTGGGCCAGTATGGAGGCAACTTGTGCTCCCGCAGAAGCATTTACTGCTGTATTAGTGCGGGGAGTACAACGATAGTGGTATTTAGAAAATTTGTAAGTGTATGCAAGCTCATTTAGAACGTTCCTTTTGCAGCAACTGAAACTCAAGACAACCCCTGAATTGGTCGGAGCTGTGGTGAATGAAAGTGAATAGAAGTATAGGATAGTTTAAATTTGGAGAGAAAAAGTTAAAGCTAGAAAAACAGGGAAGGGTAGTGAAGGAGCTCCTATGTTAAATAGGAAGGGAAATAGGAAGGAAATGACAGAGTCATACTTCATACCCAATAATGCATGATGGTGGAAGTTGGCTGGAGAGGATCGGCTGGGCTTCCCCGAGGTGGTATTGCTCTTCTGTGGTGTAAAAATGCTAAGAGGTTTAGAACCAGGGCCGGAGTGGGACACCTTTTCAACTCTGGAGTTTCAAGCCTCAGACCAGCCCACCTCAGTTCACGACTTTTTTTTTTTTTTTTTTTTTTTTTTTTTTTTTTTAAGAAAACAGCTGCTTTAGAACTTCAAATGTTCTACAACCCTAACAGTATTATATGTCTTATCAAAAAATGAAAACACTAAATTACTCTAGCAAGGATCGAACCCAGGTCCGCAGCGTCTTAACCTAACGTGCCAACCACTCGACCACAACAAAAGAGAAAAGTTGTGGTAAAATAATGAATAAAAAGCTGTGGTCAAGTAAATGAATTAAAAAAGTGTCACTGCTGAGAGCAACAGATTCTGGAGCTAGGGACACCGGCCCTCGCGGCCAAAAAAAAAAAAAAAAAAACAGACCGGCCCACCGGGAATTCTCCCGGTCCTCCCGATTAGCCAATCCGGGCCTGTTTAGAACAGGTGTGTGGGGGAACGGATATCATCCTGCATCCCTTCATCCTGCGAAGATAGATCAGATATGGTTAGGTGTATCGTTGGATTGAAATGTCATACTTAGTTCAGACGACTTAAATTAAAAAGGCTAGTGTGAATATGGCATCGAGGGTGTGGGCTATGTGAGTGGAAAAGTGTCATTTGCAAAGAGTGTAAATGTATTTAGAAATGGATGTGGAGTGTAATAGGTTGGATGAGGGTCAGCTTCTGCAACCAGCTGACATGATCTCTGAAATGAGAAAAACAAGAGAAAATCAGAAATGACATTACAACATGGTACATGTATGGCAAACACAATGAATTATTTTAGCTGATAACCATGCGGGGCATCTTAATAAGAGCATGGGCAACTAAGTGTGGAAGTGCCTTTGTTAATGCATGGTACGAAGCCTCATTGTCGCAACGAGCAAAGATAGTAGAGGTAGGCATTTGTCCCTCCTAAGGATGGCATATTAAATGGGAAATCTGCTCGTCTAGTGATCCTGATGTACCTCTTGAAGACAGGGTAGGTGGAATTATAGTGGAGTTTAAACCCCTTGGTTTGTATCTAACGCAGAGTCAATTGATGAAACATCAGACATGTCAGAAATGTCCTCCTCTCATTCGTGGAAGTCAAAGCGGGAATTTTTTTTTTTTTTTTTGCTGTTTTCACATCTAACCAACTTGCCATTATAAGCTTATGGCTTATAAATGTATGGACATGAGTCACTGGGGCATATTACGATTGGACTTCTATGCCTAATGCGTTGAATGTTTTTCAGTAGCAGAGTAAACTTTTTAGAAGTTAAACTATCAGATGTGGCAGTTTTTTTTATTTATTTTTTTATTTATTTATTTATTTATTTATTTATTTTATTTTTTATTATTTTATTTATTTTTTTTTATTTTTATTTTTATTTTTATTATTTTTTTATTTTTTATTTATTTATTTATTTATTTATTTATTTATTTATTTTTTTAATACATTTTATAATTATTTATTTTCTTTATTATTTATTTATTAATTTATGTATTTATTTATTTATCATCTGCCAACATCAAACCCTGAACTTAAAATTAATGTCACCATTTAGTAGTAATTGTGTAAATGTAATGATAATCATTCATGAGCTTGTCATGAGAGAGGGTGGGACCATCTCAAATTTTTGAGAGTTCATTGGATGGTGACGCTTCTCCTTTCAGCTATTGGCTCGAAGGAGTGTCAATCAAAGTTGCAGAAAAAGGCTGGCGGCCATTTTGTTTGCCAGAGAACTAGTGTTATGATTGGAGACGCTACTCTATTGAATGCACCACAGCGACTAGTTTGGAGGATTAACATGGATGTTTATCAATGTATGCATAAGTTGTGGACTGATGTTTTAAGGATTGGATTGTCTACAACCTTGATTGAGAGGTGAGTCATTCTATTCACGCTAGAATCATCCTTTAAAGATGGATGTTTAATCTTAGTTGTAGTTTGTGAGGCTTCCCCTTAAAAAGTGTCATGTATGTTACCGCTGGTGCACCCCTAGAAGAGAGTTCAGCTTGAATCGCAGGCATCGAGAGTTTAGGCAAAGTTCATGGATGGTGATCGAGTTTTTACTGTGATCTTGTTGGAGAATTGGGTTGAAGACACAGAGATTGCATTGTGTGAGGCAATTGAAGTAGAAGGTTGAGAAGTTGTAGTTGGATAAGTTGGTGTAGCTGGAGAAGTTGATGTAGCTGGAGAAGTTGATGTAGCTGGAGAAGTTGATGTAGCTGGAGAAGTTGATGTAGCTGGAGAAGTTGATGTAGCTGGAGAAGTTGATGTAGCTGGAGAAGTTGATGTAGCTGGAGAAGTTGATGTAGCTGGAGAAGTTGTTGTTGTTGGAGAAGTTGATGTAGCTGGAGAAGTTGTTGTTGTTGGAGAAGTTGATGTAGCTGGAGAAGTTGATGTTGTTGCTGGAGAAGTTGTAGCTGGAGAAGTTGATGTAGCTGGAGTAGCAGTAGCAGTAGCAGTAGCAGTAGCAGTAGCAGTAGCAGTAGCAGTAGCAGTAGCAGTAGCAGTAGCAGTAGCAGCTGATGCAGAGCAGTGTATTCTTCAAATCGAAGATGACTGTAGTGAGAAAACCCTGGCTCTTTATAGTGGTTAGGAATGGCCTGATTGGTGGATCAAGCATGCTAATGCAGGACCAGCCGTGTTCAATCATAATCACGTGCTCCTCTCGAAATTAGTTTATGAATAAACTTCACTTAAATCCCATACCTAAAGCTGCGTTATCCAGGGACCATCTCCAATTATTTGGATCATCATACAGTCCAATCCAACCTTTGCCATAGTAAGTCCCACGAACTGTTTTAATCAGCCTGTTCATTTCCTCCATGTTATCAATGGTGGCCAGATCACTGTAATTCTGTCTGCAGAATCTCTGAGCATCTGTCCAACTCAAAGATTGATTCAGAAAGTGATACTGACGAGCACACAAAGATCTAGAGCAAATCACTGTATGATAAAAAGCGAAATTTTAACACATTTTATTTTCTCGATGAATCCCTTTTAACCAACACAATCAAACAATTAACTTACTTTTGTAGCAAATGAAAGGCATTTTGGTAAGGCAGTTCTCATCAGTCCATTGTCCTAAATGTCTGAAAGATACGGCTCTACAGAGCTGAAAGCCCCACTGACCATAATCATATTCGCCATTGTCTGGTTGAGGTTGTGAAGAGGGAATAGCTGGTTTCCAGTTTTCATAACTTGTAATCTGTTGGTCAGACCAAACCCTATTTCTGTAAAGTCCGATCCAGACACCTCCACCTGCTGTCTCAAGAATCTTCTGGTTTTCAGTCTGATATCTCACATTAACGAGATCTGTGTAATAATATCTGCAGTATCTACGAGCCTCTGTCCAGGTTTTACTGAAATTGATTCTGATGTAACTCTGTATGGCGTTCTGTCTACCTGATGTCGGAAATATTTAAAACATCAAATGTATAAATAGAAATTTGTGAGTTATGAGGTAACATTTAAAAATGCCTTACTATCATAGCAAAAAAATGGCAGTATGTTGTCACATGACACATCATACCATTTACCATCATGATTCATGTAAACACACAGTTCTTTTCCACCACTGTTGTCAGGTTCATGATAAAAGTTCCTGTAATCTCTTTCTCCTTCCTGATAGAAATCATTGTCTTCCAGTGACCATCTCCAGCTGTTCACATCATCATACTGACCAATCCAGGCTGAACCATTGTAACTGCCATTGACTGTGTTAATCAGCCTGTTCATTTCCTCCATGTTATCAATGGTGGCCAGATCAGTGTAATTCTGTCTGCAGAATCTCTGAGCTTCAGTCCAGCTCAAAGACTGATTCACAAAGTAATACTGACGGGATGATCCCAGCAATGACACTGTGGGAAAAGTGTACAATTAAAGCAATACCTTTTTTGCATTCTCAACTGTGTAATACTGGTCCTTAAGAAAGATATTTTCTCACCACTGTAGCAAAAGAAAGGTAATGTTATATTGCAGTTTTCATCTGTCCAGCTCCCAGAGTCACTGAATGACACAGCAGTGCAGTATTCACTGTTTCCAGCATTATCAGGCTGTCCTGACCTCCAGTTACTGAATGAAGAGTTGCTCTGATCTGACCAAGACCTGCTTCTGTACAGTCCAATCCAAACAGAATAATAATAATAATAATAATAATAATAATAATAATAATAATAATGATAATAACTATATGGAATTACTGACTGAACCCTGTAGTTCTCAATCTCATTCCTGATACTGACAAGGTCTGTGTGATGCTCTCTACAGTAACTCTGAGCCTCAGTCCAGGTTTTGTGCTGATGAATAAAAACATAACTAGCACTGGAGTTCTGTCTTCCTGAAAAATATAAATCATATTCATATCATATTCATATCATATTTAGCTTATTAAAATAATAAAACATTACTTTTTCTACTGTCCTATATACAGTAATAAAAAACAACACTTTTTCAGATGAAGGAAGCAGCTCACCATCATAGCAGATAAAAGGCCATATTTCTGTGCAGTATGCCATGTACCATATCCCACTGTAAATATATACACACAGTCTTTGTCCTCCATAATTGTATGGCACTAGGTTATTCCAGTTTCTGAATTCTTTCTCTCCTGCCTTGAAGAAATCTCTGTCCTCCAAAGTCCATCTCCAGCTTTTCAGATCATCGTAGAGTCCAATCCAGGCCAAATCAATGGAATCATCATTCACTGTGTCCAGTAACTGGATTGTCTGTTGTTCATTTTTAATGGTGGCCAGATCAGTGTATTTATCTCTACAGTATCTCTGAGCTTCTGCCCAAGTCTTGGATTCATTCACAAACACATACTGACGAGGAACACTCAAGGTCAAGGTTATAAAACCTGTTTAAGAGTGACATTATCAGATTTAGATTCATCAATCATGCCTTTTCAGAGATGATATACTGTAACTTACCGTATAGTAGAACGAGTAAAAACATATCTGTGAAAAAAAGCACTTGTTAATAATCTTTAAATGGAGAATTTTATAATGATTTTCTATTTTTTATTTGTTGGTAGATTTGTATAGAAGCACAACAAGTGCAATAATTATAAACATTCTTCAATGGAATTGTTTTGCATAATAGGAAAATATATTTTTTTATTTAGCCTTACACAATGTGTTTAAAAATAAAGCTTTGTTTGATTTACCTTAAGATTTTCTTAGTTGCCGTTTTCAGATCATGTGACCGCCGCTGTATTTATAATGGTTGGCAAAGTAGGGGTGGATCATTTCTTTAAATACTTTTGACATCATGAAACTTGGATCATATAGCAGTCCTATCAAATGTACTCTGTAAGAACATTGTGATTGTAATATAACAATGATCAAAAAGGCTTAGTGTTTGTGTTCTGCTTTAAACTGGTTGTGTTTTTAATTTCAAAGAAAAGAACTTCTATTATTATCCATGCAATTACTTATGTCCAACTATGTGGATTACATGCATGAATGCTTTGGGGATTTTCAGTGTCTGTTGTTGTTGTTCAATAGGGGATTTCACAGTGAGTAGCTAGAATCTTTACCAACCTATTTCCCTATAACACAATTATCCCATGAAGGCTGTTAAATAAACAAATGTCTTGTAACTCTTTGAATTATTGTGCCAGTGTATTGTATGGGCATGCATGGACCCAGCCAACGTATACTTAATTAGGTAGTTTCTATTGCAGGTTAAACATTCTTCTGATTTAGGAGCTAATTTCATTCAAAAGGTTTCACTACAGTATAACTAAGATCATTTCCGGTTGCTGCAGTGTAAATACTCCCCAATGAGGGTATTTTGTCAATTGTTCCTTTTGTTAATTTACAGTAATTTCTTTATGTTGCAATAATGATTTAATGTAATGACCTTTTTTTTCTGTGTACCTTTTAGGACTTCACAATTATTCTTACTTATTTTATTGAATGATCACAAATTAAATAAATAATATTAACTGTAATTCTTTTATATTATATAACATATTACTATTTTCTAAAATGCTTCTTCTTTTATATTTAATCTAAAACTGTAGGTTTTTTATGTTAACATTCATGTACTCATTCATATTACCATTAACCCTTTAATTCATGGCTTTGAAACTTTCTACACCTTTAAATTTCAATTTTAACTCCACCATAACCTGTGGAAATGTGGGAAAATAGCATTTATATCAAAGTAATTTACTAAGTACATTATTACTGAAATAAAGGCTAATTCATGTATACACTACAAAACCCAATAAGTTAAGGTATCTCAAACCATTTGAGGAAACCAATTGCAACAAACCATTAAAGTTCAAAAAGTTATCTAAACGAGCACTTTGAACTTGATCTATTTGAGTAAAAAAGCAATTTGAGCACAGTCAAAACCAATAAATGAAGAGAACTTAAACCAACCGAGTACTCAATAAGTTAAGGCAACTCAACTCAATAAGTTAAGGCAACTCAAACCATTTGAGAAAATCGATTGCAACAAACCATTTGAGTTCAAAAACTAATCTATATAGGTACTGTGAACTTACTCCATTTAAGTTGACACAATGAGGTATTTAATTAACTCATTATCTTTATTGCTGAGTTCAAAACTCTTTTTAAATCAAAGTTGACTTTTGTGTTTTACAGTGTATGAATAAATCTTCCTTTGGAAATAATTTCTATACTGTATAAAATTGTAGCCATTTTTAGTGTTGCGTTACAACACAGTGCAATACAATACAATGACAGGCATAAAGATATATTATGATTCAAAGAATAAATGATTGAAGTTCTTGTAAACATTAAAGCTTCTTTTCTTGATTCTTCAGTTTACTTCCATAATCTGTGTAACATTAACACCTTCAAATCAAAACAAATCATCATCATACTTGAATCTTCATCAGGAAAAAAATCGACTAGAATAGACTAAAACGGATTAAGTGATTCATCTAAATGACCTCTGAGCTTAGAAACAAGTTACATATTTTTAAAGCCCAAAAGCTGTATTCAAAGCTACACCGTGCTGTGAAGGTTCCTCCATCAGGGTTTGATCTTCTGCAAGTCTCTTGGACTCATGGTGAAGTTGCCGGAAACTCCATGTTTGATCAACTCTTCTTGTAACTGAAAACATTTGAGATTTATGACAAATCACGTGTTGGAATATCAGTCAAATTATTTTGCCATCATTAATGTATTCGATTTACTAGTGTTTATTGCATCCCCATTGGGCAAATTATGCTACGTAGTCCTGTGAGAAACTGTTTATCCACATTATTCAAAATATCTGTGTGTGTGTGTGTGTGTGTGTGTGTGTGTGTGTGTGTGTGTGTGTGTGTGTGTGTGTGCGTGTGTGTACTTATTAATGTGGTTTACAAGGATATGCGTATGACCTACATGTTTCTTTTTTTAAGGTGCATTATGAGGACATATCCCGTGTCCTCTTAATTTGAAACTCTTAAAAATCATAGTTAATAGTGTCTTTTGACATTCAAACTTTGCCACAGGTTTTCTGACAGAGTTTGGTTTAGGGGTAGGGCCAACTAATAAGCAATTATTTTACTGTATGAATACAATGTCTATTAATTGTCCTCACAAACCACATATACAGAGTTTGTTTTTGGCTTAAAGTTATAGCTTTTATAGTACCAATCTTTATGTACTGGTGATAAATGATCCATTGACTTACCCGTATAATGACCTTCTGTTCAATCTGAGACAAATTGTCTAGAGTTGAAACTTTCACTCTCAGTCCCACCACTGAAAACAAAAACAAAATTATAATACGACTAATAATAAAGGTTAATAAAGCTAATTCACAATAATGTAACGTTTTAATATAGTGTAAATGCAGTACTATTGTACATAAACATACCATACTCATTCAGAAAGGTCAGTTGGTGCTCTGGTCAAAAATAAAAATTAGACTGTTGTTAGTCAAATCAAAATTTCCCTGCGTTTACAATCTTTCACTTTCTTTATGGGCTCATTATTGTATGTAACAACCTGGTTAAATGTATTTTTAGAGAAACTTACCACTGTAACAGAAGAAAGGCAAACTGTTAAAGCATCTCTCATCTGTCCACCGGCCGAAGTATTTTAAAGAAACAGTTGTACAGTGTTGAGCTTGATACTGTCCTGGGATACTTAATCCATTATCTGGCTGTGGATCACTACTCTGAGTCCATGACAGCCAGTATGAGAATGAAGAGTTGCTCTGATCTGACCACAGTCTGTTTCTGTACAGACCAATCCAGATATCATAACCAAAATTTCCAGAGCCTGTAATGCTCAGTATCTGTTGCAGCTCTGTCTCACTTCTCACACTGGCCAGGTCTGTGTTTCTCTCTCTGCAGTAGTTCTGAGCGTCTCTCCATGTGTTTCTCTCAGTAACCAAAACATATATTTGAGTGCTTTCTTCAAAATGAAACAAATAATACATCTTTATGTAATAGCTTTACATTAATTATAGGATGTTTAACTAAGGATAAATTTACAAGACTTTTTTAAAATCTAAATTAAAGTGTACTTTTTGGCAATTCTTGACACAAAATTATTTTTGGACTAAATTGCGAAGATGTGAAAGTGTATTTTAAAGTGCACTTTTAAAGTGCAAAGGAAAGCAACAGTATTATTATAATCTTTGTGTAAACTACTAAATGTGATTTTTGTAAAAATGGTGCTGGCATGCACATGTGTTTTGTGTTCAGTCTACTTGTTAGGGTTTATTAGTTGGATTCAGTTATTGTTGATTTGACAAGATCCAGGATCATTTCGTTCTTCAAAACTCATCCGAGAGTTGTTGTCATAGCAACAGTTCTGGTGGCTCAAACCTGCTTGGGAACAGGTTTATTTCATATAAACATGATTAGATCGGCTCATTTCAAGCAAAAGTAATACTAAAGTATGTACCGAATACTGATACTTTCTTACAGTAGTAACCTATAGATCAGGGATCACCAAACTTGTTCCTCAAGGTCCGGTGTCCTGCAGATTTTAGCTCCAACCCTAATCTAACACACCGGAACAAGGTAATCAAAGTCTTATTACTAGGTATACTTGAAACACCCAGACAAGTGTGTTGAGGCAAGTTGGAGCTAAACCCTGCTGGGCACCAAGACCTCCAGGATCGAGATTGGTGACCCCTGCTATAGTATACAATTGGGAAAAAGTTAAATAAAAAAAATGTATATGTACACATTTATAATTTATAATAGTTAATAATATTTGATATTGAATAATTAATAATATTTATGTTTATATACATATAAACTTGTATAAGTTTAAATATTTATAAATAAATAAAACTTAGTAAACTTAAGTACTTAAGTAAATAAAAGTACAAAAACGGGGTGGTTCTCCCCAAGGGGATCAAAGAGAACATTTATTAATATAGATTTTTTTAGATACAAATACGTACTATTTAAAGGTACCGATCCAGCTTCAGAACAATTTCTGTAAGATAATGTTTTTTGTTTGTTTGTTTGCTTTTTTTTTATAAAGGATTAATAACTTTTGCTGTCATGCACATGTTTTGACAGCCAGTATGCCGGTGATTTGATGCTTTGCAAAAGTTGCAGATGCCTTTACCAATATCAACATGCTTTTTTGATGCAAATTTAATTTAAATTGCTTACACCGCCTAAGAGACTAAAATAGGCCTGGACCACTAAAATATAAAACTAAATAAATACCTAAATACTCTTGACACATGAAAGTGTAAAGCCTGCAGCTCACAACACATGGGGAAAGTGATTGTGTATAATTTTTAACAAACCGTTTATACAGATTTTATATAACTTTGCTTACGTGGATAATTTAATATTATTCAAATGATGGCATTATGCTGCTGTGCCATCAGCCAATCATTGGATTGCTGATCATGATTTTGAGAATCGATAGATCTGTCCTTCATAAGCTGCAATCTCAGATCAGTTCACCCAGATATTTTAATCTGATTTAAACCAAAACAGAACCAAATTAGTCAGAGGTCTGTTATCAAGATTAAAAGATCCAGGATCTGCCAAATCATCTTAGATCTTTTAAGCAAGGTACAAAGAACGGACCCAGCTCTACTCTTTGTTTTTGTTTTGGGTTTTCCTGCACTTGTTTGAACCAGCTGTTGGAAAAAAAAAATTATGATAATTTTAACTCATCCTCATGTTGGTTCAAACCGTTGGGACCTTCATTCGTCTTCTGAGAACAAATGAAGATATTTTAGGTAAAATCTGAGAGCTCCCTTATCCTCCAAATA